TGAGATCCGTTCATGTTCTAGGAGCCCTGGGGGGCGTAGTGGTTACACATTGGGCTGCTAACGGCAAGGTTGGCAGCTTGAAATCACCAGCCGCTCCCTGAGAGAAAGACGGGCTTTCTACTCCCTTCAGAGTTACCGTCTCAGGAACTCACCGGGGCAGTTCAACCCTGTCCAGTGAGTCCATGCTGATTTTGGTTCACCTTGTTGTTTTGTGACTAGTGTTCCTTCTCACTGCTATATTCTATGGTGTGAATCTACCCCACCACAGAGGGGCACTGGCATAGTTTCCAGTTTGGGTAGTTAGGAATACTGTTGGCTAAGAACATTCTGGATATGCCTTTTGGTGAACCTACAGTAGCATTTCTTTTCATTAAACATGTAGGTCTTGAGTTTCTGGACCTTGGGGCATGCATATATGTTCAACTCTACTAGGTATTGTCCAAAAAATTGCTGTCCCAAACGGTCATATCAATTTACCACTCCCACCAGCTGTGCTCCCAACACGTGGAATGCCCTGGAGGACGCTGGACCAGTGATGCCAGGAGACAGATACTAACACTGGAGATTAGAGGAGTGGATGACCTCAAGTTCAACAACAACATAATGAAAATATTACAGATAAAGTAAGCTCTAAGCAGAGCTAGTCTCCTGACAAGACAACCCATGCCCTGATGCTACCACCTCCCCGAGGTGGCACTCAGGATGCTACGGTCTGTACGGTAGAAGAACCCCTGAAGTCTGGCAAGACCAGAGGAGGAATCGCGAGTCTCCTGGCTGGCAGTGAGGTAAAGGGGACCAAATCAATCCATGCACTCTAAACTGTTAATACATCTTAGAGGACTTCCCAAGGAATGCTGGCACCAAGCAGCTCAGCATGATGTTACAACTCTAAGGCCAGCAGATTTCGAGGTTAAGGTCCTGTGTGAAAGGCTATTCCTGTCCCACCTGCAGGAAAGGAAGAGAGATGTTTCTCGGGGAATCAGTTCTTTTAAGTGGTGAAGGTGGCTGGGAAATACAGTGGGTTCAGAGCAGATGAATCTTTGTTAGGAAAGGTTACATCAAAAACTAAACCCACAGCTATCAAGTTGATTCTGACCTGTTAGGGCAGAGAACAGCTGTCCCAGAGAGGTTTCAGAGCTGTAAATCTTGACACAAACAGCCAGCCACACATCCTTCTCCTGCACAGTGGCTGGTGGGTTGGAAAGCAGCCGAGCGCTTAACCACTGTGCCACCAGGGCGCCCTGGTAAGATATATAGCTGCGGCATATTCTGGATATGCCTTCCATTTGTTTAGGGATCATTCTTGGTGTCGTATGGACAAGTTTGGATCACACCAACAATCTCAGCACACCTGACTATACAACTTAGGTACTTTCTTGTTGCTTGTGTAAATCGCTAGCTCAAAACTGCTCGCTTCCCAAGGACAAGCACGAAGAGGTCTCTTTCCCTTAGGAAGAGCTAAGTGGAGGTTTACAGCCGTGGGTTAAGAAACCCTTCCTGGGCCACCACTCCTCAGCAAAGGCAAGACGGAGCTTCAAAGACCCAGCTGGAGAGGTGATGTGCTCAACCACCTGTTGGCCAGGGAGTGGGAAGGTAGAGTTGGCAGGCCAGGGTTTGAAGCGTGGGAACCATTTGAGCGTCAGAGGATTTTATTAGAACCCAGTGTCTTTCCTATCGCTGCAGCTCTAGGACCAATGAAAGGAACTAACATGGGACTCTGGTGGATAACCTTTTCCTGTTTTAGAGATGAAGAAATTGACACTCAGAGATGAAGTAACTTCTTTAAGGTCACGGCGCTCTGTCCAGTCTGCGCTAAAATGTATGCGTTTCCAGCAGTCTTCAAGAGCAGCAGATTTATTTATCAAGTCGTCCCCGAGTGCCTACTGTGGGACACAACGGTGGGCCGACGACACGTCTGGCCCACCACGGCCAAAGAGGCAAGTGGTGGAAGAAGCTTGTGGCTGCAGAGAGGCCTAACTCATTCTAATCAACTGCGGGTGTAAGCTCTCCAGCTGTCATATGGGAGTGAGTCATTCAGATGGGCAACCTCCCCTCCCCTGAGAGGAGCTTTTGGGCTGGGTCAAGGTAAAAGGGGGGTTGGTAGAAGGCAAGATTCCTTCTGACTTGGGAGCCTCCATCCAAAGGGGAGGGGGGGTGATCTAGAATCCAGTCTTGAAAACCATTCTTAAAAAACCTAGGTCCCTGGGAAAGGAGGTGGGCGTGGAGGGAGAAACAGTGAGGTGTGCAGCGAACCCTCCAGCAGCGGCAGCCACGACTCAGTTCCCAGAGGGATGCGGGCCGGGGGGGCATCGAGAAAAGGGGCGCGAAGCCCCCAATCCCCGGCTTAGGGCCTCAGGAGGCCTGCGCGGGACCCCGCCCCTTCCCCTGGCATCGAGGGTAATGAATGGGCAGCGCTCCAGAAATCACCGCCACCCCTCCTCCCCCGACCGCGCTCTCCCAGCGCTGCTGCCGTCACTGGGCGGGGAGCTGCGGGTCCGCGGAGCAAACATGCCCCGGAGCTCCGGCCGGGCTTCCGGGGCCCAGGGGTGCTGCACCCCAA